ATAATATAACATTAATTAGAATTGACTCTAAAATTGTTTACCTGTAAAAAACATCAATAAATAATGTCTGGACACATCTGTTCAATAGTCATAATTTCGGTTTTCTAAACGTTTCTCATTTCTCAATAAATTTTCATTAAAAAAATAATTTTCATTTCATATATGATTTGAAATGCAGATTATTTTCAATAACACTTTCTAACAGCATACCAGTCCCACCACTTTGCTGCAAAGTTTTAATTCATTTCAAAGTTTATTGTATTTTGACTGAAATTTTACTTTTCAAAAAAAAATCATAAAATTAATTGTTATATACAGTAGAATTTCATTGATTAAATCGCAAATTTGCACAATTAGTTTAATATGCTAGATTTTAAAAATACAAAATATTTTACATGGATATTTATTTAGGAAATAATCCAGTTTAATTATATTTAACAAATTCCTTTAAATTTATTAAATTATTTCAATCTTGTTCATGTATTGTTTACATGTGACATGTATTGACATGTATTGTTCATGTATTGTCTTGTTCATGTGGTTATGGTGTGACAAACTGGAAATGTATGATTTATATGTTTGGCATATGTTTGCAAACATTGCTTTAAAATTTATAGTATAAATGGTGTTATTTATTATGTAAACAAAATTCACATACATTTGTGTAAACGTATTTAAATTATGTCATACAAACGGAGCAATCGGTATCATATTGAACATCCGATAGGGTGGGACTCATATGGAGACTCATTATTATATATAATAATGAGTCTTACGAGAGGCACGTACCGGCGCTCGGTATAGGGATATACAAATGAAAGGTAGTGCGAGTGAACCGTACGCTTAATTATGCCATTCATTGACATATTTCGGCGAAACGTCATAACAAATATTATCATTAAATATCCTAAGTTTTGTAACTATTATGATTAGTAGTTATCTAAATATATTTTAATTACAGTATATCATAAATTTTTATTTATATTACGTGTGAAATGGGGTCTCCCTTCTCAAAATACCCAAACGTGGGCCCATTTGGCACATACGACGACATCACAAATGTGGTCAAACGGGGCGATCTCATCGAGATCAAGCGCACGTTGATTAGGCATTGGGTGATATGCAAGTTCATCGATGACCAGGGTGTTGTCTGGTGCTGTCACGTGTCGAAACTCGAACGTATGGGCAAAAAGAAAGTGTTTTTTAGGTGTCAACCATTGAGTGACATATTGAAGGGCGACAGAGGGTCGAGCGCTCCGGAGGGTAACCGACAGTCTATGGACTTGTGTCGCGTGAATAACAAGGAGATACAGGCGCGACAAAGGGGACTGACTGCCCGACCACTGGATGAGGTGTTTGCAGATTTGGAGGCTTTGGAGGGTCAGACAATGGAGTATGAGCTCACTGTATGTCATATTATATTACAGTATATTTAAGTATGTAGATGAATGTTGCTATGTTTTATTATATTGTTTGGTGCGATGTTTAGGGCCTAAACTGTGAGTTTTACTGCACGCTATTAAAATATGGTAGGGGGTGGTCGAGCCAAGTGGACATTGCCATGTCCATGGTGGAAGGAGGTCTAATTGGCGTCGCACTTCACCTCGCCACAACGGCTAGCATTGGGCCATTGTCGGCGCTAAATCAGGGGAAAAATATTGAAAATAACGAAAATGTGCAACGTCAAATTCGGTCAATGGTCACCGAGCATCGCGAGGCCGTGGCTATGGCTCAGCGGCTAAACGCAGAAAACGCCCGACGAAAACGCTACAAACGTTTCACGAAGCTCATATTTACTGCCATGCTATTCATTATAGCCCTGGTCCTTGGTTATTATCTAGGGTTGTCAGCCTCTAGCGTCAGTTCTGACCTGGATGTAAGAAACCTTAGGAAATAAATACTTAATTCAAATTTATGTACAGTATTAGAAGTTTTGTTAATGTTTTATGTGTTGTAATAAACAAGAGTATTAATTATTAAAATAATGTACCTCAAGTGTTTTTTTTAAAAACACTACTATGTACCGTATGTTATCTCAATAGTATGAAAAATGTGAAATTGAAGGCTACATAATGTTTTGGAAACACAGCAATGAATATCAATTTTTTTACATGTGTAACAAAATTGCAAAAAAATTGTTACAATATTATTACAGTCTTAACGTTATAAAACATAACTGTTTTTTGTTGCAACTCACACATATTATGTATAACATTATGTACCGTATGTTATCCCAAAAGTTTGAAAAATGTGAACTAATTTGAAGGCTACATAATGTTTTCAAAATACAGTATATTATTAATGAAAATCAATTTTTATATGTGTAACAAAATTATAATTCAAACAAATTTTAAAATATTCTATTTATATAATTGTATCATTTTAAAATCATATTTTTGCATATTACATTTCTAGTACTGTTCTACTGTATTTATATTAAATTATATTTTTTATTATGTATGTGATTATTTAAAATATCATTTAAGTTTTAATAAACACTTTTTAAAAGAAATATTTTACAAATAATACATAAATTAAGTTTAATTGCGTTTTTTAAATATTTTAAATAAATGATTTTTACATTAAACATTGAAATACTAGTCGTACCATTTTATACTGAAATGTTAAAGCATAATATTATTATGTTAGCATTGAAATAAAATATGTTATGATAAGATAATGCACGTAATATTATTTACAATAAAATCCGTTAATTTAAAAATAATTAACAAAATTATATATTATAAACATCAATATAGTTATTATAAATATATTATTGCAAAATTTATTTACATTTTAGAAAGGTAAAAATCCAATTTTCAAATACAGTACACTTTACTACAATTGATTAAACCTACTTGTTAAGAATAAATATATTTATGTGGACATTGTTTGTTTATAAATGCAATGAAATATAATTAGTGATGAATAACATTATTTCACACAAAAAAACAATATTATTAAATTAAATACAAAAGTAATTCAAATATACGGAGAGACAGAGTGTCTGTCTATATGGGAACGACTCTATTAAAAAGTGCTAAAAAAGAGACCAAATGTGGGCTCATTTCTCACATACGATGAGATCAAACAAGTGGTCGCATCGGGAGATCTCATTGAAATACAGCGCTCGGGTTATAACCATTGGGTGATATGCGAGTCCAATGATCCCAATGACCCCAATGACCAGGGTGGTAAGGGTGGTACTGTCTGGTGCTATCACGTGTCGTCCATCAACAGTAGGGCTAAGAATAAGGTTTACGTGAGATATGAAGCACTCATTGATATACTGCCAAAGAGGACGGGACTGAAGGGTGGGACGTGTGTCGGGTCAACAATCAGGAACAGGAGGCCGACAAGACTCATGGTCTGATACACAGAGTATTTTTTCAAATAACCCTTAGAAAATACATTAATATATATTTTCAATTAGAACCAGCAAAAATACCTCGATTAGATGCAGAACCTAGACCGG